CGGGAGTCGTAAAATTATGTAGTACCACTACTGAAGATATCAATACAACCATTACCATATCAGACATGGTATTGGAAACCAATTGGAAAAAGAAAACGAGGAAGAAAGACCAACTGGAAGCTATAGAGGCACAATAAGGGATGGAGCAATCACCCAGGGTCTGGATTTGCCGACATTGGAGGACGTGACCAGGGACAGACAAACGTGGCGTCGACTGTGTGCATGTACATGCCGGTAAATGGAGGGAAAGAGTAAGTATTGTCTGCTGAAATGTTGTAGACTTGTATACCAGTCAGCTTGGGCTGGTTATGAAAGGCAGAATTGAAGCAACCCATCTTCAAGTTAATTTGAATTGTTTTCCTTTGAGTAAAGATAAGCACATCGACTGGTCATTTTGTACTGGAATCATTCAGAATCCTGACGAAATAATGGGAGAGTTCCTCTTTCAATTCAAAACGAAACCATATCAATACAAAAACAAGCAATCAAAAACTAAGCAGATCTATACTCCTAGCAAAAAGAGGAAATAAAGAAATAAAGAAATAAAGTAATATTTTAAGTCGAACAGTTTGAGATGCATGACAATTTTACTTTTTTCATGAGCTTTGCAGATCTAGATCATATAACCTAACCTTACAGGCAATCTGCAGCAAACCAACCCAGAGGTCTCTTGACAAAATTCAAAATCAAGCTGTACGATTTATCCCCGGAGCTTTGAGATCCACTCCAACTGCAGTTTGTGAAATCCATACGAACCTGGAACCCTTGGACTTGCGGAGAGAGGCATCAGTAGTGGAGATAAATGAGCGCTACAAAAGACTAGAGAAAAACCACCCAAACAGGAAAATAATTGAACAGAGACGACCAAAGAAACGGATTCATGGAAGATCAATACTTGACACAGCCACTGAACTACCAGAAAAACACCATCTTCCATGTAACAGAGAAATGCTGAAACTTTTAAGACCAGAACTCCCCCCAAACACTAACATCAAGAATGCCAACATCAAAACCTCCCTCATAAAAGAGACAGCGAAAAAGGAATGTGACCCAGTAGAACTGAAGACAACAGCTCTGAAGACAATTGACTCCTACCCTAGAGATTCAATTCATATTTATACAGACGGGTCAGCCTTGAAGGGAACTATAAACGCAGACTTTGGGGTAAGAATTGAACATCCTGACAAAACATGTGAAGAGCTATTTGATGCATGTGGTATTTCTTGTACAAATTACGAGGCTGAGGCAATCGCCATTGAAGCAGCAATCCTCCACCTGACTAACATTTTCATAATACATCCAAACAAAATCAAGAACACTATTATCTTCACAGACGGAAAGTCAGTACTCCAAGCTTTGGAAAACATGAATTTCGAAAGCCCAGCCTGCCTATCCGTGGCTCAAACAATCAATACGTTCATACAGACCTATGCCATCGACCTGACGCTACAGTGGATACCTGGCCACAGCAACATCCCAGGAAACGACAGAGCAGACACCCTTGCCAAGAAGGGAGCATCACAAACACAACCTCACAACCCAGTATCACAACAGACAGCCAAGAACATCATCAAATGCAAAACCAGGGAACAGTGGCTGAATGGATGGGCAATGGGCAAAACTGGAAGAACTGTATTTGCACACATGACAGCCCCCAACTCTCAAGATGCAATAAATTCCCTGAGTAGAAGAGAACAAGTCACGATATTTCGCCTGCGAACACAACACATACCACTAAATTCCTACCTTAATAAGATCCGCAAGGATACCCCACCCGACTGCCCGTTGTGCGGCTGCCAGGATGAAACAGTACCACACCACCTCTTTAACTGCCCAGCACTTTGTGACCTGCGTAGCACCTACCTACCTGCCTCCCCAGACATTGGAAACACTCTATACAGCGACAAGGCACAGCTGATTAAAACCTGTCAATTCTTTGCCATATCGACAGACCAAAGGACAAGAACCCAAATGGCCGCTGGATCGGAAAAGTAAAAGTAAAAGTAAATCTAGATTAGATCCCTGCCACAGACCACAGTTTCAAGTTTTTAAAAAAATGAAACAATAAAGCTGCTTCTTTTTCGGAGGCATCTCAACAAGTGCAAACTGACATTCAAGATACGTGTAATGAGAAAGTATAAAATCTGTAATGATAATTAATAAATATATGCGTAAAAATAATAATAATAATTTAATAATAAATATCATTATTATTATAGTGGCGTCGGTGGCCTAGTGGTTAGGCTCTCGGACTCGCAACCGTCAGGGGCTCGACGTTGTGTCCTTGGGAAAGGCACTTTGCACAAATTTTCCTCACTTCACCCGGGTGGAAATAGATACCCGGCTATAGACAGTGAACGATTTTGTCAATTTGATAGTGTTTGAGCGTGTGAAATCCGCAGCTTGCACTGTATGCTTCCGCGGAAGCCGAGAATGTTTTTGAGTATTCTCAAAGGGTCTGCTAGGGTACTATGGCTCTTTTCGTCTAAGCAGACGGTCAATTTAGCTTTAGATGGTCTCAAGGCTGTCTTCAAGCAGCTTCTTTCATGGCTAATTCTTCCTATGTTTGAAGCGCGGATTCTGTTACAGTGCTTGCATGTTAGTGTCGTAGATTGAAGCTCTGTATTTCCGCTGTTTTCCTTTCGTCGTTGGCGCTTCTCAGCCTGGTGGTTTCTAAGGCTGTTTTCTAGTATTTTAGTTCTTTCCTTTATAATATTCCTCCATGTTTCCCGGTCTTTAGCTATTTCTTCCCAGGTGTTAACATCTACTCCAAGCTTAGATATGCTGGTTTTGCAGGTGTCTTTGTACCTCAATGTTGGTCTTCCCCTTTGTCTCTTTCCCGTGGCTAGTTCTCCATAGAGAAGTTGCTTCGGGATCCGGTTGTCATCCATTCTCTTGACATGGCCAAGCCATCTCAATCTTTTTAAACACAGGATAGTTGTCATGCTCTGGAGGTTTGCCCGTGCCAACACTTCAACATTTGTAACCTTGTCACGCCACGAAATGCATAAGATCTTGCGGCAGCATCTGAGATGGAAAATGTCGAGGTGCCTTTCTTGTCTGCTGTACAAGGTCCATGTTTCAGATCCATAAAGGAGTGTGCTGAGGACACATGCTTCGTAAATCTTGATCTTTGTTTTGATGGTTAATCTTTTGTTTTCCCATGCTCGTTTTGTCAGCCTTCCAAAAGTTGTTGCTGTTTTCCCTATCTTGATGTTGATTTCATAATCAAGTGATGTTGAAGAGCTGATGGTAGACCCCAGGTAACAGAACCTGTCCATTGTCTTAAGTTTCTTGTCGTTCAGCCATATATGGCCCTGCTCTGCCCCTTCTTGGGTAAGGATGACTGTTTTCTTAACACTGATGACCAAGCTAAACACCTTGCATGCTGTTGATAGGCGGTCCATCTTTGTTTGTAGGGTTGATTCACTGTGAGCAACAAGAGCAGCATCATCGGCGAAGAGAAGGTCTCGTACTGTTGTTTTGTTGATCTTGGTTTTGGCCTTAGGTCGAGCAAGATTGAAGAGCGACCCATCAGTTCTCCAGTGGAGGAAGACATCCCCTGGTGACTCTTTGAATGCGTGTTGCAGTAAGACAGCAAGATTAGTGCTAAAAAGGGTTGGTGCTAAGACACAACCTTGCTTTACTCCGCTTTTGATGTTGAAACTGTTTGATGTTGAACCGTCAAACTGAATGGTGGCCTTCATATCTTCGTGGAAAGAGATGATGAGCTGTAGCAGTATTGGGGGACAGCCAATTTTTCCAAGCACCATGTGCAGTCCTGAACTACTGACTGTATCAAAAGCCTTTGTCAGATCGATAAACGCAGTATGTAATGGCAGTCGTTGCTCCCTGAACTTTTCTTGTAGCTGACGAATAGAAAAGATCATGTCCATTGTTGAGCGGTTTGATCTGAAACCGCCTTGGCTCTCCTGGTAGGACTCTTTCTGCTAGTTTCTGAAGTCGCTTCAGGATGTTTTTGAGTGTTCTCAGAGGGTCTGCTGGGGTAATAATAGTTGTAAAGCGCATAGAGCATGCTCTTGGGCGTGGATATGCGCTATAAAAATTATGCAATTATTAATTATTATTACTAATTTTACTTTTTTTTACTGCTTGTGAGAAGAGAACGACAAACAGGATGGGAAGGGTGTACAGCAGTTTTGGCAGTCAGTAAAGCCAGAGAACTCGTACGATACTTTCCGTGAAGTAATTAATTTTCATAATCTGCAAGGCATACTAAAAAAAGCTGTTTTATAGCATAGAAACATGGTAAAGTGTCAAAGTAAGACTTCCATTGCGTCTGAACTGCTGATTCCAGCTATTTTTTACTTTGATTTTCAGAAGCACGTTTTTCTGAAGGGTATCCAGATAAAGTAGACAAGTCTTGAACTTTGCGCGTCTTTTTTCTTGGATCGAAACGACCACTTGGTCAAAGTGGTTACAGTACAAAAAAGTAAAGGGAAATTCGAGGCCCTAATAGGCCTACAATTCTTTTTGGAAAGGGAAAACAGACTTATCCTTACTTTAGTATTTAAAAACTATTCATAATTTGTTATTCACTTGTTTTGTATTTTTATTTTTTCTCTTATACTATTACCCTCTTCTTGATCACAGTTGGACTAAAAAGTCTTTGTCCCATGTTTTAAAGGAAGGAATTAGTCTTAACAACAAGATACATATTGACTTTGAAATAATTGAAATAGGCTTAGGCCTAGAGGAAACTTCGGGTTTTTGTTGTTGTTGTAACCATGCTTTTCTTCCTCTCCTTGATCTGCTGTTGGCCAAGTTTTTACTTTTGCTGGCCTACAGACAGTTTAAAAAATCTGGGAACATACAATTTCATCTGTTGAAGTTGACTGTTGACTGTTGATTGTTGTTGTGGTACCAAACCTTTTCTAAAGTGCTTTTTTTAAAAGAGATGCAAACTTTTAATGTCTTTGAAGTGAGCTAACTCGGCTAGCTCAAAAGCGAGACTCATAGATCTAGATTGCGTCTAACACTCTCATCAGCCTCAGCCTCAAATCAGGCATTGAAGTTGTGAAGTTGTTTTTTTTGTTCTTCTTTTCTTTCAAGGCCAAACAACGGAAGCCAACACAGAGCCAAAGGGAAAGAGTTTAAATGGCAGCAAATTGGAAAGAGAATGACTTTTTCTCTCAGTTTACACCCTTGATTCGAGATGGCAGGGCTGTAAGAGCCGATGATGGCTTGCTTGTGTTTGTGCGGGTAACAGGTGAGAAGAGCTCAAACTCAAAACTCAAAATATTGGCAACCTCTATTCTCACCCGGGATGAGAATAGTGCAGGCTAGTCTTTGGCTATTCTCACCCGGTGCGCGTTCACCGTTATAGCCTAGATCTAGGCCAACAAATTTTGCGTTCACCCTAAACCACAGAATTCTACACTGTTATAACAGAAAAATTGTAGAATTCTGTGCCGTGAACAAACGTTCCATTACAACTGTAGCCTACTAAAAGCGTACAATTTTGTATGTGGGCAGTGGAGAGAGAGAAAGAGACAGAGAGAGGAGTAGCGCGAGAACTTCCGGTCAAAACAAAATGGCGACCCGCGTAGTTCGGCTCGATTCTAAAAGTTAAATAGCCGTAGCATCTTTGTAGACAACCAAATTAATTTACTTTTGTGTTTTAACATCATTTTTTAACTTTGTTTTGGTCAATTTGATCGTCCACACCGATAAACAGTATTCAGAAAGAGACAGAGAGAGAGGGGAGGAGCAGATCTTGCGAGAACTTCTGGGCAAAACAAATTGGCGACCCGCGTAGTTCGGCTCGATTCGAACAGTGAAATAGCCATAGCATCTTTGAAGACGATCAAATTAGCTTACTTTTGTGCTATAACGTAATTTTTTCTTGGCTTTTATCAATTTGACCATCCACACCGATAGACAGTATTTCAAAATGAGGAAAAGCAGGTCTTGTTTCGCACCGGGTGAGAATAGCCTACGCTGGCAAGTCTCACCGGGGGTGAGAGGTAGATCGTCTTTCTATTCTCACCCCGGATGAGAATAGCCACTTCCCAAAATATTCTAGATCTAGATTCTATGCCTATTCGGAGTGGTTAGGCTATCCGTACAATTATTTTGCTAACAACTCTGTCTAGTTAAGTGTACAATATATTGTACCGTACAATTGTGCGAACAACTCTGTCTAGAATCTAGTTATCCATACAACATTGTACGCTACGAATAATTACCACACTTATCTGTACAATTATACAATAATAATAGGCTCTCGAGCGCAGGAGGCGACTATTGTCGATTTGGGGAAAACCTTATCTTTTGAGAAAATAGCGTCACCTTTTGTTGCAACAGTATTAATTTATTGGTTCTGTAATACTGTAATTGAAAATTTTACTCTTGAATTTTGTGTTGTAAACAAATGCCAATTCAATAAAATTACAAATGACAAACTACTACTAGATTCTAGATCTATTATAAAACAGCTTTCGGTTAAGGCTATTTTTTAAAAACATACTACTCTGGCAAGTGAATTCCTTTCTGAATTTAGAATATATTTACACTTGTCTAGTGTTTTGGTGTAGAATGCGTGCATACTCTCAACTCAACATAAAAAAAAATGAAACAATAAAAATCCCAGCGGGAGCTTAGAAAAATCGGCCAGCGCTCTGGGGCAGGTCACGAACGGTCACTCTCTTACAATTCACAAATTATTTTCAATCATCTGTTCTCAACATCCAGGTAGACTTAAAAATCCATTGCATTCTCAGACTGTTATTCTCACCCCGGGTGAGAATAAAATTACATTTTTATTTTCACTTTGGGTGAGAATAACAACAACAGCCATGTTGTGAAACTCAAAATTTTTTATGTAGCAATTTCTCAAAACTAGGTACTTAGCAGATCAAACTGTAATTCTAGGAGCGTAGATCTATAATGAGCCTGATTTTATTTTGAGTCAGTCCCAGCTTCTTGGCATATAGATTTTGTAATTCTAACCTTAAGTTTTTTGCACATATGATCTAATCCTGGTGTTAGTGTTATAAGAAATGAATAGACAAGGCAACACAAGCACCTGCATATATATGTATTAATGTTACACTTTAAATTTTAAGGCAAGACAAATAAAAAATGCTATCCATAAAATGTTTTTTCTTAACTTCATCGTACAGTCGAACCTGTGTGAGACCGAATCGCATGGGAGCCAGGAAAAAATTCCGTCGTAGACAGGGGAATTTAGGAGGAAATGGAAAGGGGGGGGATGGGGGTTAAAGGCCCAGCCGGTGGGATCAAGGATTGCGTGTCCGATTGGCGAGCAGTAGTTAAAACTTCACACAGGACCTCTCGAGTGCTATCCTGCCTGATAATGTAATTACCACCAGTGCTTGCCTTTCATAGGACCACTGTTTGACCTATTAAAAACAAACGTTTGAACATCTCCTTTGCTTCCACCCTTAGCCCCACCCATCGGTGTAACAAGCACAGTCAACCAATGCCACCACCCACTGCCATCATTGTAACAACGATTCGAGGAACTCTTTTCTCGGCTGGCCGTACGATCAGAGCGGCAGGCATTGGTCAATCTAGTTTCACGCCTCTGGCTTCTGGCAACCCAAGAAAGTTTCCGTAGTGGCTTGGTACTTTCTTGAGCGCTCTCACGGGCAGTAAATTACCCCGACCATCTGCATCACCCGGGGCTCACATGATGGGGTAACATCTACCCCCAAATTGCTCCTGTGCTCCCCTTCCTTGCTCAGCGGCATGGCCATGGCGCTAAGTTTAGAGCCGGCGGAACAAGACTTGCAAGTTTTGTTTCAAATCAGGGCTCAGCGGGTAAATCATTTTCCTTCTTAGACAGGTGAAACCCTTGGATTTTTTCTTTTCGTTTTCACGTTGGACAGGTTTCCGTTTTACACCGGTAATTAAAGAGTAATATATCAAGGGGGAAGCAGGGAGATTCCATTAGGACAGGTTTCCTTTAAGGCAGGTTCGACTGTATTCTTCAGTGTCAGCAGTGTCTAATTTTTCATTCATGACAATGACAATGACAATCTTTATTCATCTCGCAGGGAGAAATTTGTCTTGGTCGTTAACAATGGCAGTAGACGTTACAAAAGTT